TCAGACGGCGCGGCTCGGGCAGGGCCTCGGAGCTGCCGCCACACCCGGCGTCCTCGCCGGCAGCAGGTACTGACTTCAGAGGTGCCCCGCCGGTCTCCTCATCCCGGAAACAGAGCCAACGCTTAGAATCACAGTTTTAACTCAGACCAAAGGGGAAAGAAACATGCACCCTGGGGACCCAGACTCCCGCTTATGTCACACCGTAAGCCTGGCCGGCCCACGGCATGAGCTGAGTTGTCAGATTTTGGTCAGAGACGGAAAAAGTCACCTGAACAGCATAAGAAAGAAAAACAGAGTGGGACACGTGTATATTAAAGGGCAGGCTGGTCAGAGGTCAGCAGTGCCATTCTGCCCGCGCCTGCAATTAAAACAAAGCTAGTCCATTTTCTTACAGAGACGGGGGTCGGGCTGGCACCTGTGAGGAATGGCCAGGCCAGGGCTGGCCGCGGGGGACGTGCCACAGGGCTGGGTGACAAGTGTACTTGCCCGGTCTGAGACGAAACGCCCGTGCTCGTGACAAGGCAGAGGTGTGAAGTCCGTGCTGCACGAGGCAGGCACCAACAGGCCCGCTCCCGGGCCCCGCTGCTATCTGAAACTCCCAACGTGGATGGAGAGGGAAGCTTCTGGTCCCCGGGGCCGGGCAAGCGTCTCTGCGCCGGAGGCGGCATCGCTGCTCTGCACATGCAGGGCTTCTTGGCTGCAGGAGACACAGAGGCCGTCACAGACTTGCATTCCAGACACTGGGGCCCGCCTGGTCGAGGAGTCTGGAGTGACTCCCAAGTTCATTCCAACCTTTAGGGGTCAAGTCAGAACAGGCCACAGAGATGCATGTCTGCAATCAAGACAGGTTATTTCCATGCTGCCCCCTGGGGCCTCACGTCCACCCTCCCCACGGCAGACTCCCCTGCCCGCCCTGCACTGCGGGTCACACGGGGGTGCTTTTCTGATCGGCTGAGCGACAATGTCTCATGGCGGAGCAATCTTTCCTGTTTCCGAATCAGAGTATAACGTTCACAGACGCTCATGTCTAACATCCAGCTCCAGTCAAAACCGTTACACGCGCACACACCAGGTGACGCCCCCCCGCCCTGGCCCTCTTCCTCATCCCACACGCCAGGCGCCCCCGGTGGCAGAGGGCATGTCCGCGTGCTGCTGTCACCCAGTGCATGCCACGTCGGCCCTGAGATACACAGGCGGGAGGAGAGGAAGGTTACAGGTCAGAGGTGAGCAGGGAAGGCTACTGCGGTAACCTGGGTAAGAAAAGAAAGTCCACCAGGCCAGAAGCAGTGAGAACGGGGCAAGGCCGGCTTAGGACGCAAGACTTCAGGGATGGAGGTGGGAACAGCTAAGGACGACCACAACGCCCCTGTGTGGCCTGTGTCAGGATGACAACAGGGACCGCAGTGGTGGGAGTCAGGTCCGGCATGCAGAGTCTGAAGTATCAGTATTGGTCGAATGTTCCAGAACATTCTGCTAGGTGTATGTGGCCTGCAGGCCGGGGAGGGGGACGGTGTACAGAAGAGGAAGGAGTAAGCCCACCCACGGCCAAGTGACAGAGTGAGGAAAGAGGATCCTAACCAGAAGCTGCCTGGGATGGAGGCTGGGGGGTGGGGGGCAGGCTCAACGGGCTGAGGGACAGAGTCACTGGACTGGCGACCTGGCTGACTGCTGGGAGAGAATGGAGGGGGAGTGATGGGAAGTGACAGCAGGAGCTGCATGGGACCTGAAGTGGGGGTTGGTGTCTGAAGGAAAAGACCAGATTATGGTGGGGGCTGAGCGTGGGAGATGGAGGAGTGAAGGATCAGGGTCCCTGAGGAGGTGAGAACAGACTGGAGCTCGGGGAGGGGCCCAGGGAGCCCTCCAGGAGCAGATGGGGAGATCCTGGGAAGACAACAGCGGGCAGCAGAGGGGAGTCCTGTCTGCAGGGCCAGGCGCTGAGTGAGTGAGGAGGGGCTCCTGGAGGCTGGGTGGACTGTCACGTGGGCGAGGACCCCAATGTACCTCTTCTTCCCCACAGCAAGCTGCTTCTGCTTTTCTCTTGCAATGTCATCTCTGACTGTGCTGAAATCATCGTCGTCTTCAACCAGGAGATTCTGCATTTCAAAATAATGAGCAATGTTTTCAGTCATCTTTTTAGCCTATATTTTAAAAAGATGTATGTAAAAAATTACCTAAGATAACAGAAGTTTACGTAAGTTAGAACAACGGATAGGAGACATTCTAATGTTTGATGAAAACCAAACTGAGTGGCAGGAAGAGCTTAAGAGAAGTTACGTTTTAGGCGTCTGATCTCTGCCTTGGGACCACAGACCTGCCACTGAGCAAGCGAGCAAAGGGGCCCTGCAGGGAGGCGAGGATGCAGGCAGACCTTCCGCAGCCGGGCCTGTTGGACCCCGCCTGGCTGGGAACACGGCCGTGTGCTCCCCCGCCACTTGCACCCGCACTTCCCGGCTGTGCCGGGCGCTTCCCTGCAGCTTTCCCCCGGGGGCTGCACAGACACAGGACGCTGGCTCTGCTCTCCCGAGGGACCAGGCCTGCGCCTCCCCCAGACCTGGCATCAGAGAGGATGCGATTCACCATCAACTCCGGCTGCTCCCCTCACGGCTCAGTGTTAACTCATCAGGACGTTAACCGTGAGGAAACAACTCAGAAGGAAAACGTAGGTCGCAGAAAGGCTTCTGAGGCTTGCGGGACCCGTGTTAGAAATGGCCCCGTGCGGGTTTGGGAGTCAGCGCTGGAGCTGCAGGAGGTCCTGCTCTCTCTCCACTCTCAGGTAAGAAAAGTGCCACATTATCACCTCTGCTCCAATGATGATGCATGATAAATATATTTATTTCAGTATGTTGTGTATGATGTGCTTTTTAAAACTGTGAAACATGACAAAATCAGAGAAACGTGGAGACCATGGGACAGACACCCGTGTTCTCACGCAGGTGGTGGGCACAGTGGCTCCGTCCACGGACATGCCAGTCACATCATCCCCACGCCTCCCTCTCCTCAGCTCAGATGGCATTGACCTGCCATGGTTTTCATGAGGGAAAACAGAGTTAAATGTATATACATGGATGGTGTTTGGCGAATGTAAAATGCTCACTGAAAGTTAACATATTAACAGTATTAATCTTTTACCATATTTGCTTTATTTTTCAAGGTAAAAACACAGGTTCTGTTGCTGGCTCTCCCCCCGGCTCCAGGTAAGCAGTCCACGGAGGGGAGGGCTTTGTTCCTTCTTCGTCTCTACTTGATGGCGACACAAGAACACGGCCCTCAGCATTTTACACGCTTTTGTACTTTCGAGAAATGGTCATTCTGTGTTTTCTTTTTCAACACAGAACAACATCCAAGTATTTGGATGCATGTTCATGTTGACACTGTAGCTCTGGCTTCTTCATTTTAAAACTGCTGTGTTCTACACCACCGTATTGGTACTTTCTTTCCCTGTTTTATCTAGTCCCTGTCTGACATTTAAGTCCTTTCTGATTTATGCGGTTACAAATAGCACTTCATGAAGTGCGTGTTTCCGTACATCTCCCCACACACGGCAGTCCCTGGGGCTCGTGCCTAGGGAGGAATCACGCGGATGCGTTGTACGGGCACCTGCGCTAACTCTGGCCCGCTGCCCTCCAGAGCCCTCGTGCTGGTTGGCACTCCTGGTGCCGCCCGGGGCCTGAGGGTCTGGCCGGGACAGCAGCTCACTGCTCCATCTCTGGGTTCCCTGGTTACTGGGAAGCTATCTTTTCATCTGCTTGTTACTTAGTTTTCTGAGAACTGCCAGGTGCTGCCCAGCCAGGGAGAGATGGGCAAAGCCTGCCTTTCTGTAACTGATCTGTAGAAGGACTTTACATGTTTTGGGTAATAATCCTTGCTGGCTGTATCCCTGCATGTGTCTTCTCCTATTGGTGGCTTGTCTTTTCACTTTGTATAGCTTCCTTTGATGAACGGAAATTTTTACTTTTAATGTACAGTCATCCCTCAGTACCCACAGGGGATCGGTTCCTGGACCTGCCACGGACACCAAAATCCTCGGACGCTCGCGTCCCAGAGTCTGCCCTCTGTATCCGAGCTTCCACATCTGTGGACTCAGCCAGCTGCCCGTGGTGTCATACCACGTGTACTTCCTCCCGTGTATACAGTTCAAACTCGTGTCATTCGAGGGTTAGCGTACTCAAGTTTACTGGTCTTTTTCTTCATGGATATGCTTTTTGTTTCTTATTGTAAGAAATCCTTCTTAACCTAAGTCTTAAAATTTTTCTTCTAAAGGTTGAAAATCACTGCTTTTCACATTTAAGTCTTCATATATATAGATGTGAGCAGAGGTGGATACAGATTTTATGGGGCCTGAAGCTTACATAAATTTGGAGACCCTCTTTATGAACATGAAATCAGAATTATCACTATAATTTTTCCTGTATGGACAACCAGTTCTCCCAGCATCATTTACTGAATAATCCATTTTTAACGTTGCCTCATATACCTGTTGAGTTTCCTTTCATGTGTGGTTCTGTTCTGGGGCTCTATTTCAGTCTTCCCCTGCCCCAAAGCCACCCGGTCACCACAGCTGTGCAATCAGCCTTAATTCTTGGTAAGTCAATACCCTGATCTTATCCTTGAAAAATACCTTAGCTCTCTGGCCCTTTGCTCTTCCACACAACTTATTCTCTTTAGTCTTATCTATGTGATTTTTCACTGGGATAAGACTGAATTTACAGATGTGGGAATACTGCTGTCTTCACAGTCCAAGGCTCCCCTTCTAAGACACGACGCGGCTCTACAGCTCCCTGAAGCTTCAATGCTGCCATGTTTTTACAACACTCTCGAGAAGAGTCTTAGACGTCTTCTCATTGACGTATTCCCAGGTACCTTGTACTTTTATATGTACACTGATCTTAGAACCTTTTGAACTCTCTCAACAGAGCTAATGGCTTAGCTGTACAGACTGTGAATCTCCTTCATAGAAAAACTGCATATAAGAGCAGTTATAGTTTCCTTTTGGACTTTGACTTGTTTTTGAATTTCTGTTTATGTACTTATCTTGGAGGGTGGAAGTTCATGTTACATTGGTCGCATTCTTTAGTACAATGTTGAAGTGGTGATTAAGGGGGAATGCTTATTCCTTACTGTTAAAAATTCTTAAATCAAGAATTACTGATAAATCAATAATTTAGGGGGGAGGATATAGCTCGAGTGGTAGAGTGCATGCTTAGTATGCACGAGGTCCTGGGTTCAATCCTCAGTACCTCCTCTAAAAATGAATAAATCTAATTACCCCCTCTCTGCCAAAATAAAATAATTAAATAATATAGTAATAAATAAATCAATGATTTAATATCAATAAATTATTCTTAAATTAATTTTAAATTTTTAAAATAGAAATTAAATCAATGATTAAATTTTAACCCTTAATACAAAAAATATTACTGTATGATAATAAAATAGGTTTGTCCAAGGAATGCAAGGATGGCTCAGTGTTAAGAATACATTTATGTAATAATGCTACATTACTACATTGAAGAAGAAAACCAAACAGCTAATTTGAACAGATGCAGAAAAAACATAAAATAAAATTTAGTATTAAAAATCCAGTGCTCATTCATGATAAAAAAAAAGAACATAGAGCAAATTAGGAATGGAAGGAGACACCTTAACTCATACAGGTGCCTTTTCAAAACCTTCGGCAACACACATGCAGGTCCCTACTCAAAACCTTCAGCAACACACTTAGTGATAAAGCTTCTAAAGCAATTTCATGCAAAAGCATTTTTCATTCAAGTTAGACTCAAAATTAAGATTCTGGTATTGAGGTTCTATTGGTCTCATAAAATGAACTGTCTGGCCTTCCCTCTTTTTTCTCATTTTATATAAAATGAGATTATCTATGCCTTGAAGATGTAATAAAACTTCTCTATAAAATTAATTGATCCTGGTGTTTTGTCAAAGTGGTAAATTTGCTGTTAAAAACTTACCTTAACACCAATAGTATCGCCATCTTTCAAGTAATAAGGCGCCCCCTGCAAATTATCTTGCTTTTTCTTCTTTTTCCTCTTGGTAATTTGCTGATTCTACAGAAAAATCAAACATCTAAATCGAGAAAACTCAACCTCAAATTCTTACTTAATTCCCTATCTGTGAAAACCTGTAGTTAACCCACACACTATGCCAGTAAGGCCCAGTTTCTGTGACACAGCCCCACAACTTTACCCAGCTGGATACTGGAAGCCACTCAAACTTTTCAGGAAAGTATTTGGCAATTTCAGTCTTCTCCACAGGGAGAGAATAGAAGTCAGCCACTCGCTGCCTCAGGGAGCCAGCCGTCGAGCCTCGGGCAGTGTCCCACACCATGTCCATGGGCAGGGCGTATGCCCTCTTGCCAGGGAGGCGCATCTGTGTCCTCAGCAGCATGTCCTGGGGGCTACACCAGAAAACAGTTGAAAGTCAGATTTAAAACAAAATGGGAGATATGCAATAAATATGGCAGGGTGATGGGCAAAGCTTCCCCTCTGCGACTCTTCCAGTTTTTATAAGGAGAGATTTTCCCTACACCCTGTTGAGTGCTAGCTAGTGGGAAACCTTTACTTTGGGTTCCTTCAATCCTGACCCAGAATGGAGGTGAGCTCCCATTCTGAGTTCACGGCAGAGGCCCCCGGGGAGCAGCAGGCAAGGCTGAAGAGGTACAAAGTTTCTCAGTGGCGTGTGGAAGGAAGAGGATCGGAGGCAGGGCTGAAGAGTCAGCAGGGCCGCCCTGCGGCGGGGAAAGGGAATTGGGTCAGCCTGATCAGGTTCCCTGCAACGGCGACTCCCCAGACATGCTGATTTCAGAACCAGAAGCTGTGAAGCTGGCAGGAAAAAAGCTATTTTAGGTACTAAAAATCTGAGTTACTGAGTAGCCAGGGAAAAGAATTTGAGAGCTTAGAGCTGGGAAGAGAGAGAGAATGGCAGGAGCTGCAGGAGCAAAGGAGGCCTTTGCAGGAGAAGAGCTCAGATAAGAGGTTCTTGGAGGAAGAGGAAGAAGAGAAACATTCAGGAAGGTGGGGAAGAAATCGCGATGGATGGAGACTGTTACAGATATGACATGAAACAGACTACAGATAAGAACTGGAAGGTAGAGAGAGAAGAAATGAAAATTTTGTTTCTAAGGATGGTGAGATGAGTGATTTTAACGCTCTATTTCTATTATATTGGTGTTTTTTATCAAAAGAAAGGGTGATGCAATTGGAGGAAACAGACAATACAGGGAGAGTGAAGGCCTAGTGAATTAGGAGACTGGGTTGAAAGGGGGACTGTGGTCAAGAAGGGATTTGTGGGAGTGAACCTCGGAGACTGTCAGGTGTGGGTGTTGCTGGGTCAGTGAGAGGAGCTGAGGGTCCGGAGCTGAGCAGAGTGAGGTCAGAGCAAGGCCAGAGCATACAAAAGGGTGGTCCGTGCAGATGAGGGAGCTGCCAAGGAGGTGACAGGCTGCAGTGAAGGGGACAGTGAGGAGCCAGAGTCTTCACTGAGGGGGGACAAGAGCGCTATGGAGGTTGGTCAGAGACGGAAGAGGGTCTAACTAAGTGCACAGCATGGTCTTCCAAAGGACACTGTTCATGACAAATATAACAAACGCTCAATTGATATTATGTAACATATATATATATATATGTATCTCCTACACTGTAGAGCTCTTAGACTTTTTTCTAAGATCCCATTAAAAAGAGGCAAAATATATGAAATAATTCACACACTCACAAAATACAAATGATTTACAAGCCTGTAAAAAAAAAATGCCCACTCTTACTAGTAATCAAAGTACTGAAGCAAATGAGACAAAACAACCATTTCTCATTTATCAACTCAGTGAATATTTAAACAATGACAACACTGAATGATGGTCTGAGAGTGAGGCAAAATACACACTCAGATACCCTGCCTGGGGGAACATAAATTGGTATCATTTACCTGGAAAGGAATTTGACAATTTATTTTTAAGAGGTTTAAAACATCTATACCATTTGATCCAGAAAATCCCCTCCAGGAAACTATTCCTGTAATACAATTTGCACTGAGAAGGCCTTTTCATGAATCAGTGTGGTTAAATGAAGGTCATTACACAACAGGCTGGCAGCAAGAATAATCATGCCACATCAGATGGAAGGAATCTTAATATTTGGTGATACTGCAAAAGCATCTTATAAAAGACCGTCCTATAAATGAAAAAAAACAGGAAGGTCTGATTGTGGACAACTTTGGGTGCTTCTTTGTTCAATGAGTCATTCCTGACGATGACAAAGGCACTGTCCTAGGTACTGGGGATACAGCAGTGACCAAAAAACAAGTGCTTGCTCTCACAAAGCTTACATTCCAGTAGCAGGAGGCAGAGTAAGTACTAATTCAGCAAGCGTATAAGATGTCGGGTGATGTCAGGATGAAAAAGTAGGACCGGGGGCACAGTGGCAGGCACTCCTGTTGATCAGTTTGACAACAGACTCTGCACTGACAAGAGTGGGGATGAATGTCTTGGTTACACTTTAAGATCATCATGGGTTCAATATGCATTTGAGGCTTACTGAAAAATTAATTCTCACTGTTTTTATGGAAAAATGAGTTCTAAGAGCTCAACACCAGACATATAAACACATTTCTAGAACATCATCTGTTTTAAGTTGCCAGACTACTTAGAAGCAGTGAAAAAACCCACTTTACTACTAAGCTGTTACATTTTTAAAGACACCGTCCACTGTGACCAGACGTGTGTGTGGCGGGCCGTCTTACCCCAGGTTTTCTTCTTTCTGAAGGGGCTCTAAGCAGATCTCAGTTCTCCTTCCCAATTTATATTCCCTGATAACAAATGAAACAAAATAATGCTGAGTGACATATCACTTAATTTTTTTAAGTTTTTTTTTTACCAATTGTAAGTTTTTTTTTAACATAAAAAGTGGTTTGTTTTTTTTTACATAAAAGGGGTTTTATTTGTTCTTTTTTTTTTAAAGTATTCTTCTTAAGGGAAATATTACCCTGTGTAAGACACTCAAAATTTAAGAAAGTACCATGAACAATCATACACCAATAAAAACTGTACAACCTAGAAGAAATGGATAAATTCCTAGAAACAAACCGACCAAGACTGAATCAAGAAGAAACAGAAAATCTGAACAGACCAATGATTAGTCTGGAGATCGATTCAGTCAGTAATCAAAAACCTCCCAACAGAGAAGAGCTGATGGTTTCACTGACGAATTCTACCAAACAGAAGAATTAATAACAATTATTTTCAAACCCTTTCAAAAAAAAACAGAACAGAGGGGATACTTCTAAACTAATTTTGTGAGGCCAGCATTACCTTGATACCAAAACCAGATAAAAACATTATAAGAAAACAAAATTAGAGGCCAATATCCCTGATAAACATAGATACAAAAATCCTCACAGAAATATTAGAAAACCAAATTCAACAGTACATTAAAAGGCTCATACACCATGATCAAGTGGGATTTATGTCACAGATGCAGAGATGGTTCAACATTTGTAAGTGAATCAGTGTGATACAACCACATTAACAGAATGAAGGGAAAAAAATCATGATCATCTCAACAGACATAGAGAAAGCATTTGAGAAAATTCAACATTCTTTCATGTTAAAAATTCTTAACAAACTGGGTATAAAGAGAATGTACCTCAACGCAATAAAGGCCATATATGACAAGTCCACAGCTAATATACTCAATGGTAAAAAGCTGAAAGCTCTTCCTCTAAGATCAGGAATAAGATAAGGATGCCTACTCTCACCTCTCATATTCAACCCAGTACTGGAGGTCCTAGTCAGAGCAATTAGGTAAGAAAAAGAAATAAAAGGCATCCAAATTGGAAAAGAAGAAGTAAAATTATGTCCATATAATTCTATATGTCTATGTATTTTATGTATGATTATTATATCCATATAGTCTATATATTTACATATATATATAATATATAAATTCTAAAAATTCCACCAAAAACTGTCAAAACTTAATAAATGAATTCAGTAAAGTTGCAGGATACAAAATCAATATACAAAAATCAGTTGCATTTTATACACAAACAGTGAATTACCAGAAAGAGAAATTAAGAAAGCAATCCCATTTACAACAGCATCAGAAAGAATAAAATACTTAGGAATAAATTTAACCAAGGAGGTGAAAACTCCATATACTGAAAATTTCAAGACAATGATGAAAGAAATTCAGACACAAATAAATGTAAAGATATTCCATGTGCATGGAGTGGAAGAATACTGTTAAACTGTCCATACTGTCCCAAATGATCTACAGTTTCAGTGCAATCCCTATCAAAATTTCAATGGCATTCTTCAATTAGAAATAGAAAAACCAGTCCTAAAATTTGTAGAGACCCACAAAAGACCTCAAATAGCTAAAGCAACCTTTTCTTAAGAACAAAGAACAAAGCTGAAAGCATCATGCTCCCTGATTTCAAACTGTGCTATAAAGCTACAGTAATCAAAACAATATGGTACTGGCATAAAAACAGACACACAGATCAATGGAACACAACAGAGAGCCCAGAAATAAACCCATGCACATCCAGTCAATTAATTTATAATTCAGGAGCCAAGAACACACAATGGGGAAAAGACAGTCTTTTCAATAAATGGTGCTGGGGAAACTGGACCCTTATCTTATACCATACGCAAAAATCAACTTAAAATTGATAAGAAGACTTGAATGCAAGACCTGAAACAGTAACTCCTAGAAAAAAATAGGGGAATAAACTCCTTGACATCAGTTTAACAATAATTTTTCAGATTTCACACCAAAAGCAAAGGCAATAAAAGCAAAAATTAACAAGTAAGACTACAGCAAATTAAAAAGCTTCTGCACAGCAAAGAAAACCATCAACAAAATGAAGATGCAGCCTATATAGTGGGAGAAAGTAGTTGTGAGTCAAGTATCTGACAAGGGGTTAATATTCAAAGTAGATTAAGAATTCATACAACTTAATAGCAAAAAGCAAGTAATATGAATAAAAAATGGCAGAATAAGAGAATAGACATTCTTCTAAAGAAGACATACCAGTGGCCAACAGGGACGTGAAATGGTGCACTATCAGGGAATTGCAAACTAAACTACAGCAAGACACCATCCACACCTGTCAGAACACTTACCATCAGAAAGACAAGAGAAAAAGTTTTGGCAAGGAAGCGGAGGAAAGGGAACTCTTGTGTACCATTGGTGGAAACGTAAACTGGCTCAGCCACTATGGAAAAACAGTATGCAGTTTCCTCAAAACATTAAAAAGAGAACTACCATATGATCCAGCAGTCCCACTTCTGGGTACATTTCCAAAGGAAATGAAAACAGGATCTCAGAGATTATCTGCATTCCCATGTTCACTGCAGAATTATTCATAATTGGCAAGACATGGAAAAACCTAAGCGTCTGTTAATGGATGAGTGGATAAAGATGTGTGTGTGTGTGTGTGCGCGCACACACACACACACACAGAGTAACATTATTCAGTCATAAGAAAGAAGGACATCTTGTCGTTAGTGACAACACGGGTGGACCCTGAGGGCATTATGTGAAGTATGACAAGACAAATACTGTATGACAGCACTTACACGTGGACCCTAAAAAAGATGAACTCATAGAAGCAGGGACTAGAATGGTGGTTACCAGGGACTGGGAGTGATTGAAAAGGGGAAATGTTGGTCAAAGGGTAGACTTCCAGTCAGAAACTACAACCAACACGCTGTACATTACACCCCCAGAACGTACTCATCTTGTAACACTGTAGTATGTACTTGAAAGTTGCTAGTAACAGTGTAGATCTTAAGCATTCTCCCCACAAAAAGAAATGGCGATTATATGATGTGATGGAGGTATTAGCTAACACTATGTTGGTAATCATTTTGCAACACGTAAGTCTGTCAAACCAATAGCTTGTACACCTTAAACTTACACAATGTTACATGTCAATTACATCTTAATAAAGCTGGGGAAGAAAAAGAACACTCAAAATTTTGTTCACAGTCTCTGGACCACTGTAAAAATACACGAAGCTACATTAATACTTAATATGAAAAACCGAAGTCTCAGAGTTCAATTTACAATAAAAAGCATCGTCCACCTGACAGCGGTGGGGTTACCAGGAACGGCTTTCTGTTGGTGAGTGCTCACTGAGAAACCTACTTGAGCTGCTGGTGGTGGAATCGCAAGAGCCTGCCCGGGCGCTTGCTGTCCACGGTCCAGGCTCTGAGGAAGGCTGGGGATGGGATGCAAAACTCTGAGAAGGAGGGCAAGGTCATGGCCTAGAAAAGAAACAGACATTTGAAAAAGCATTCTTGAAAACAGATTGCTTTAGGAAAAAAATGAAGAGCTACAGAATGACATCTGAGGGAAAGAGTATCTCGAGTAATGGTAACATCTAGAAAAAAAAAAGCCATAGGGATATCTCTTAAATGAAGTTAATCCTGAGTAATTTCTGTGTCTTCTCTACTGAAAGCTGCTTGAGAGGTAAATGGAAAGCTGCTTGAGAGGTAAATGAGTTTTCTGTTTCTAAGTCTGAGCCCCAGACTCCTTTTTAACCATGCTTTAGAAAATGAAACTTTAATTTCTATGTGACAAGAGCAGAGGCAACTCTAATAAAAGCAAGGGGCTCATCTTCAACTTCCACCCATGCTAATGTAATGCTAATACAATTCTTCAGCAATGTTTACTTTGTCAAGGAAATAACGTTTGATTCTGAAGTATCTCAGAATCTTTGGATCCAACTGCTAGGCCCACACTAGCTGTGTAAGGGCAGGTAAGTATTCATATATTTAGGTTGTAGTGAATGCATGAAATGGCCGATACTGACTCATTTTTAACCTAGAAACCTTATAATCCAATATAAGGAGAAAGTCTCTTCCCACTTGTTCTCAGGAGAGTAAGACCATTTACTTTTCTAAGGAAGGTTTGAGGACGCACAGGACGAGTCAAATTTCAACGACGGATATTCATATCATAAGAATTTTTTTCCTTTAAAAGGAAGGGATATTCATTTTAGTTCAATGACAGTAAGATGCTTCTCAGGCATCGTGTGTTATATTCAATCCAACCTTTCCATTTGGAGAAAACCTCTTTCTCTAAGAATGTTATACCCAAGAAAACAATACAATAACTAGTTTCACATCCTAACATAAAGCTGATATTCTGGCCTCCTGGGCAATTGATATCACAGCTTTTAACTAACAACATTTAACACATGAATCACAATGATACAAAAACAATGTAAATAAAGGAGTAAAGTGAATGCTTTACAAATGTTCCAACAGATGTTTTCCTAAAAAATCAAAATGAACATAAGCTGCAAGTCACTGAGGAGATACTCAAACGAAAGCACAGCATGCCTGTCGGAGTGGGGCACACAAAAGCCACAGGGCAACCGGCAGAAACAAACCCAGGGAGCTGTGTGAGCAATGTGCGTGTGGCCTGCTGGGTACTCACCACAGAACATGGCATATAACACATGCCCTATCAGAACAGACTGCAGGTGAGGGAAAAGGAAATAGAAGAATATATTAATATCTCACTGGAGCAGCCCGATCAGCACTGAGCTGTGCTGCAGGAGGGGTCTGACCTGAGACTTCAGCTCCACCAAAGCGGCATCTTCGGAGATGTCAACGTCTCCCAGGAAGAGGAGGGAACCTTCTGCGTGCCCGTCACTGGGCGCACCTACAGAGGACAGGGCAAGACGTCGGGCAGCAGCTTTAAGCATACTTATTTCATATTTCTGAAATACAGGCCATGTTTTGCTTCTGCAGATAGCTTTAGTGCAGCTCCACCCACGCAACTGGGAATCTGAGTTCTCTGAGCAGTTCCCTGGTGACCGCACGGGGAGGAAGCAGTGTCCCGCCAGGGAGGGGTGTGGGTGCGACACCACGGTCTTGTCACTGGGATGTTACGGGGAATGTTACTGTTGTGTCGTCTGCCTAGAACGTTCTCTCCCACACCCTCCCCTTCCTCTGAGGGCTCTGCTGGTAGGACACCCCGCCCTACCCTCACCTTTTATTTTACCTGTTTCTTCCTCTCACAGCACTTGGTCCAACATGTTACTCTGTCTGCTCGTTTGCGTGTGTTAAGTGTCTTCCCTATATGTATATACTTACCTGCTCTGTCTCCCCTAAAGAATATGACTGTCAAGAGAGGAAAGGCCATCCATCTGGTTTGTCTCTCCAGTGCCAAATATGGTGGGCGCCACACAGCAAATGCCCAATAAACGCTTACCGACTGAGAGAATCCTTGACAGTAAGAACGCCTTTCTACATTTGTTTTAAAAAAGGGAAAACAAAATGCTCTCTCATCTAAAACTCTGGATACAAAAGCTAATAACTGAATTTGAAATCAGTAATTTCATTTTCGCTTTAATTAAATGCCTTTGCTTACTGCTGAGCACACTGCTAATACATAATAAGAAATTAATTACAACTAAATTAAGTAAGAAACCTCTCTGCATGAGTGGTTCTTCTTGGGTCTTAAGGACCATAAGCTGGTACTACCTGAAAGACACTTCCAGGAAATTCTCAGGAATAAAAACACTTGCCATATGTTGTGATACAGAACGACTAACAAAAAAAAAATGAGATTTTTTTCTTAACTTTCATGGAGAAACACATACTGCTTTTTAAGCTGTTCATTATTATCTAATCATGACATCATTTTTAGAGCTAACAAGTCTAAAACAAACAAAAAATGTCAACATCATAGCTAATTCAACATGAGGTTTTTTTTAATTGCTCTACACATATAATCCTAACTTTAAAAGAGTAGAGAGAGATGATTTTAACTCATTTATGTTAATTTCAGGACTGAATTTTAAAAGATAAAAAGAAATACATAATACATCAAGGCACTGAAAAAGCTAGATGAGCATAATAAACGGAAACATGTGAAGACCTGGTCCTACTAAAGATACTTTCTCTTTATCTCTATATTTTCTTTATAACGAAGTGGAAACCCGCTTTTTACAGTGACAACCCAAACTCCCTGCCTGTGACTTCTGGCTCATCATGATGCGTGTGCTGAGTTTTGTCCGTGGAGAAGAAACTTAGTAAAAGTTTCTTCTGTGTGTCCTCTCAGAAGTCAGTGACATGGAACGCTCCCGAAGCGGCTCCTGGGTGGGGCGGCAGAAAAGACCCCAGCCCTGCCACCCACCCCTCCTCAGGCTGCAGTGAAGTCGCCGCAATGAAGTCACCGAAGTGACTGAAGCTTCACCAGCCTAGTCCATTATAATTCATTTTGCCATGAGGAGCTTGGGAGAGGATATTTAAAAATTCTGTGAAGAAATTTAATATACTGATATAAAGATAATGAAAATAACAGACAGCAAATGAAAGGTAAAGCCAAACCAAAAAGACATTACAAATCACTATACAAAACTAGGATTATGATACGAGCTATGAAATAAGTAGGTTTTGATGTTCAACTTTACATTTTAAAAAGCATACAGTTCAGTTGCCTCTAGAGCAGAGGCCGCCCTCTTACTTTTCTTTACGACACGCTGGGTGCTGCGGTTCTGTTCTGCTCTCACCTTGGGTGGAGGCAGCTCTCCAGTCCCCGCCCTGAGAAAAGGTGCAGCTTGCCTGGTCCTGACGACTCTTCCAGGGGCGCGAGGGGATCCACGGCTGGTACCACCAGACAGGCACCTTCAGAAAACCCTGAAGAACGGGGCATTTCTAACCGCTGTGATGCGCACAGACTAAGTGAACTTCCACAGAGAGAGACATCTTGATACAGAAAATGTTCCTGAATTTATTATTTATCCTTAAGATGTATGTATGAATTGCCATATATTATACTTACTTATTGTTTTTACAATCAAAAGTTTAAAATAATAAAAATCAGTCTTTAGGATGACTGGGACTAATGTTCTGTATCTTAGTAGCCACAGTAAATGAAAAGTATAAACAAAGCATCTGACAGAAAAAACTACACACATACTCGCAGGCACCGTGGGAAGAGCCGCAGCACAGCACACCGGTTACACGAGCTTCCACTTGTGAACGTTTCTGAAGGAATTTTATAGAGAAGAAAGAACCTACTGACTGCAACCAGGGCTGTGTCGTGGCACATCTCTTTGGGAAAAGGGTTTGGCAATAGACAGCATCAAATCTTTAAAAAGTTCACACCTCTTGACTTGTTAGTTTCTTTCATTTTACAACTGTCCTAAGAAGGATTTATATTTAAGTACTATTTATAAGAATAAAAAATGTACAACAAGCTAAATTCCCCAAAGCAGGGATCTAGGTGAATTAAACTGTGGTAAGTCATATATTGGCTACAATGATTGTTTTTGGATTTTTATGGCCAGGTTAAAAAATTAAATATAAAAGGTAGGAAATAAAATTGTGTGCACAGATGATTTTACAGGAAGAAAATATATAAAGATGTAAAATATGGTAGCTGTCTGGTAAGATTTTGGGTAAGTATTCTCTTTATGGCTGTATTTCTCCATTTTCATACAGTGAGAATGTATCATCTTTGTAATCATAAAATAGTAACTGTTATTTACACAATGTCTATTCCAGAGCAAAATCTTACCAGAGGAGGAAGTTTTCCTTCAATTAAAAGCAACGTATCTCCAGAAGATATCATAAGCTCTTTCAGTGTTGCATCCTGGAAATACAGAAAGTCTTTCTTATCACTTATGACTTCTGAAAGGAACATTATGACTTCTGCAAGGAACAATCCTTTTTTTTTTAAAACCTATGTCTCTATTACCCTTTCAAGAAATAAGTAAATAAATAATGAAGCAGATACTGAAGCTATAGGGAATAAAGCTAAGCCTATAAAACAGTACATCATAATGTATTAAAAGTATACAATTATGAACTGCAAAAGATTAAAGGAAGGGAGATGGATGAGATGAGAAATGATGAAAGACTGATTTACAGAAGATAAAATTTTAGTTAAGCCTAAAAAATGGGCTGGATTTGAAAAGTCAGAGGAAACAAGAAGGAATGTCTCAAGAAAGAAAAACAGGGCAAAGTCAAGGTTATGTCAAGAGCCAGTATGACTTGCTCTGGGGAAGGAAGAGCTAAGAGACTTGATTAATTAGACTGGGAGGTAGCCACTGGAGAGTAAGTAACAGGAAAGAACACTGGACTGCAAAGGTGGTCACAGGTCAAAGGGATGTGGAATAGAAAAAAATGAGTTTTCAGCTGATTTTTAAAAAGCCACTCACGATTTCTGAGAAGGGGGTTTTTAAAGATCAGTCTAGGGGCTACAAATGTGACATATGGAAGTGGGCAACACCGGGGCTCAGGAAAGTCGGTTGTAGTAACTCATGTTAGAGGCCAAACAGCGGGGGAGGCTGAACCAGGAGGCCAGCAGTAGGAACGGTTAAGGCGTGGAAAAACTGACGGCCTTTGAAGGCTGAGACCAAATATGACAGCTATCAGGTGAGCAGGGTAAGCCACACTTCACGATGAAGAAGGTCAGGATGGGAAAGACAAACAGCAAGTCTGGGAAGTGGAGCCAGTTCTGACGGTAAGTTTGCTTTTGGATGAAATGCTTGATACCAATTTGGGCATTTATAAGAGAAGAAAATGAGGAAACTGATGACATAATACTCTTCGGACATCCAAACTGTATGTCCTCAAGATTTTTTGAGGCCCACTTCTTACTCCAGGCAGTCAAATTCCTGGCCAGGACTCAAGAGAGTCCTCTCAGCATTGTTTCTGACTGTTACACAGCAAAGAGCATTGCACTGAAGGCCCCCAATATACCTGCTTTAAATCAGGCTCCCTTGATGTTCAGTGCCAGTGTCTCACTGAACAGAAAGCAGGCAGATAAGACAGGGGGAAGGGCAGCTGACCACAGCTGTCTAAGCTTCCTCACAAAGTTCCATTCTGGGCCTACTGCTAAGGCCATGGATCTGGACTGGGAGCTTTGATGCTATCTGGAGCAACAGTAAGATTAACCAGAGTTCAACCGTCCTGTGATAACATTGTTCCTAAATCTACCCTTAGAGTTTGGGCTGGATTTGGAGATGCAGTTTGAATCAGAGCCTAAGTGATTGGTTAGTAAGACGAATTCTGCCATCATTAACTTACAGATAAACTCTGAGATTAAAATATTTAGGTTTCAAATGCTAACTTGAAAAGATACATGCACCTCCATGTTCACAGTAGCACTATTTACAATAGCCAAGACGTGGAAGCAACCTAAATGTCCATCAACAGATGACTGAATAAAAAAGTTGTGGTACACACACAGACACATACACACAATGGACTACTACTCAGCCATAAAAAGAATAAAATAATGCCATCTGCAGTGAAATGGATGGACCTGGAGACTGTCATACTAAGCGAAGTAAGCCAAAAAGAGAAAGAAAAATACCATATGATATCATTTATATGTGGAATCTAAAAAGATGACACAAATGAAATTATTTACAAAACAGAAACAGACTTACAGACATAAAACAAACTTATGGTTACCAGGGGGGTGGAGGGACAAAGTGGGAGTTTGGGATTTGCAGATACTACTAACTACTATACATAAAACAGATAAACAACAAGGCCCTACTGCATAGCACCGGGAACTACCTATATTCAATACCCTGTAATAGCCTATCATGAAAAAGAGTATGGAAAGGTATATATATGTAGGTGTATATTACTGAATCACTATGCTGTGTACTAGAAATTAACACAACACTGTCAACTGATTATACTTCAATTAAAAAAAAATTCAGGTTTTAAAATTCAGAGTGCATCTTCAAATCCTCCATTGGTTCAAATACCTCTTGTCCTCTGTGGTTCTCTGCCTCCTAGTGAAGAACCACTACCCCTAGAGACACACTCTCTTATTAACAGAGGACTCAACACAGATGAAGCTGAAATCTTCCCTCTGAC